CTTGGTGAGCTCCCAATAGATCAGTACCACTGTCTCGGTGGGTGGGGTCCAAATGAGGAGCGGAAGGAGGGAGAAGATGTGCTTTACCTTTTCTTAACATTTTATTCTGCTCCTGCTAGCTTGAACTTTGTTTAGATCTACAAACACTAGGGTATACAAGTCTCTCCCATATTCGGCGGAATATCAAGCTATCAGCTTTGTGCTAGAACATAAACCGGCTAGGTCTCAGAGTCCAAATACATAGAAATATATTCTATGAGAACTGGACAATGAAAACATCCCCCTAGGTTACTTTTTCTTCAGAACTCTTCCCTTAATACTAATGAATAAATGGTTATAAATAATTTTACAGAGAAACCCTGTCTCAAAAATCCAAAATAAATAAATAAATAAATAAATAAAGCTCAATTTCTGATTCTTTTTGGAAATTGACATATATAAAAATATGGTCTTAAATTTCATTATTGCCACTGTATATTAGAACTGAGAGAGTCACCCCCTCAACACATGAACTATCCTCCCTGCTATTATTATACTTCTTTTCTCTGACACTATGACCAACTATTGTATTCTCTGGTGTTTTAAACAACCCAAGAGGCCCAATGTAATTTTCTTTTCTTATTCTAGAAAATTTTTAACTATATTTTAAATCTATATTTTATGACTTTGAACACCTGCTGTGGACTTGAATTTGTGACACCTGTTTGGTTTAGCTACAGCTGGTCTAAAGTCCATGACTGAGTGCAAACTCTTGAGCCTAGAAGATAGTCTCCAACAAATACTTATCATCTATCTAACATCTACTTAAGATTTCCTCTCACCACAGTCAGGATGGGTAAGATCAAGAGAATAACTGTCCACAATACTGGCAAAGATGTGGGAAGAGGGGAACCCTCATTCCCTGTTGGTAGGATTACAATCTATTATAGCCATAATCGAAATTACTGTAGAGAATTATCTAAAGATAAAAGTAGACATACCACATAACTCAGGTATACCACTCTTTGCCCTATACCTAAACCACCCAATATTTTATTTAGGAGATAATTTCTCAGCCATGTGTCGTGCCATTCAATTCGAAATTGAAACAACCTAAATGTTTTTCAACTGAAGAATGTATAATGAATATGTGGTACATATCGACAATGAAATTCTACCTATCTGTAAAGAAAAGCGAAGCAATAAATTTTGTAGATAAATGGCTAGAATTAGAAAATATTATTCACAATCAGCTTCAACACACACACATTAACAATGCCTTTAAGAGGGACTGGGGAGACTTAGTAGAAGTTGGAGGGAAAAAGTACAGGGCAGATATGATACAAAATGTCGTGCTCATGTATTAATTAAAAAAAATAAACTCAAAAAATAAATTTAAAAATGAAGGAAAAAAGAGTGGAAAGGGTACCATCCTTGTTCCCAAAGATCTTAAAATCTTAAAGAGTTTTGTTGATATTTGGATTTAATCTATTGTTACATGCAGGGAGGATCTTATTATTATAAACAAACACGGGGAATCCATATCACTGCAAACTAGGCTGAAAAATCTAAGAAAACTTATATGCTGAAATATGAACCATTCATTGAAGAACTTTAGGAAGCATTATAGATATACATTTAATGATTAAAATACTATTTATAATTTTTACATACTCTCTTATTCAAAGTAGGTTTTTTGTGTTATGAAGGCACCTAGAAACCCATGTGGCTTTCTTCTCCCTGACCTTATCTCATCAAGATAAGATCTCTAGAGTTTCAGCTCAGCTGCATTTATTCTCTTTCCATTAAAACTCTAAGCTTCTAAAAGACATTATGGAACCCATGTCATAGTAGGTTAATGTTGTATGGATAATTTGTTCTTGTCAGACAAGTTTGGAGTAATTAACCTGGGTACATAATTTACCTGGCCAATCTTTATTTTAGAAGGTATATGAGTGTGTGTGTGTGTGTGTGTGTGTGTAAGAGAGAGAGAGAGAGAGAGAGAGAGAGAGAGAGAGAGAGTTTGTATTAAAATACAGAAACAGATAATGACAGGACATTGAACTCTTAATCACTTGACATTCAATTTATATATTTTTATATGCTCTTATTCTGATATGAGTGTTTTTTGTCATCAATATTTTAGGATATGTGAGACAAAAATCAATATACCTTATTTAATTTGTGTTTTAAATGACTTATATATAATTCTTAGATGTGGCATTTTAAAATATAAGTGACTGCAGATAAATGACCAATATTGGTATCTGTATGTAACAGGACAGACCAAACTCTAAACTGATTCTAGGAAGAAGAAAATTTTCTTCTGAGTAGAGGCAGAATCTGGTTTATCATAGTGTAGATGAGATTATCATATTCTGTCAAATAGTATTTAGAATGTACATGTAAGTATACATATAAATATGATCTTACTTATCATGTATAATATGAAAATATGTTTCAAATGACCTCTATACATGCATTCCTTAAAGAAAAGTACAAAGTGGAGTTGGCTTCTCAAAATAATTGCAAAAGTTAGATATTTTAATGCCTGAAATATTTTATTGAAATATTAGAAAAGATGAGTTATACTTCAATTTAATCTTTGTATGTTTATATTATTAAATAAAATTTATTTAGATATGCTCATACTTAAAGCAATGCACTTGTATCTTTTCCAAAATCAATTTATTTCACTAGCATTAATTCATAAAAATTAATGTTAGTGTTGTCGACTTGATGCAACCTAAAATTAAGAGGAGCTGGACCTCTGAGCATGTCCATATTATCTTAATAATTTTACTTTTTTATATTATTATGCAGTCAGGACAGTTATATTCTTGATCCCACCTTGTGACTTGCTAATTGTGAGTGGTACTATTTCCCAGTCAAGAGATCCTGACCTGTATAAAAGGAGATAAGGTGAGCTGAACATTAACATGCATACATTTTTTTTTTTGTTCCTTGCTCCTAACTATAGAGATGGTGTGGCAATCTATCTCAAATCCCTGTAACTTCTTATCTATGATCTACTACTACGCTAAAGTGAACATATATTACCCGAAGTTTATTTTTTATGGTATTTTATTAACATAACAAGAAAAGAAACTATTAGATGCTACTGTGGAGGATAAGCATGCAATAACTCTGTACAGAGTCCTCATTTCAAACTCTCCACTGGGACATAAGAAGACTTAGCTCCACTTCGTTGAAATGTGATCAAGGCTAAAGAGGAAAGTTACGAAGAAAGTCTTTTTTATCTTCAGCACATTTTGGACTGGCTGTTCTGTGAATTACGGATCACAGTTTACTAATGAGTGTACAGTTCACAAAGCAGCAGGGATTTCCCCTGAGACTCCTGTCTACATTCTTCTGTTGCTACAAGCATAATTTTTTTGCATTGTTTTGTAGTTAGGAGAGTTATACTCTTGACACCACCATATGATAGAATTAAATAGTTTCAGTATCTATTAAGAGAATGTAAAGTAGCCCTACTTATAACAGGCTGTACCCGTGACTTGCAAGAGGGCAGAGTCGTTACTGCCCTGAAACAAAAAGAAGTTAGAACATGGTCTACAGGACAGATGTAATTGTGGGAAACTGACTTGTTAAGAGAGGAATTCCAGAAAACTTCAATGGGTATCCATAAGTTTATAATATCATGCCTGATATCATCTGAAGCTCACATAAAACAGACTATCCCATCCAAGTGATAGATAGGATACAAAGGTGTGAAATCTCATAGGCTAGTGTTAATTGTTGCATCATTATTTGGCTGTGCAGAATAAAGACCTAGCTTGTGAATTGTGTAGAGTTTGGAAGTTAGGGGCAAGATGCAGGTACAGCATAAGGAACTGTGGTTAAGGAGATCCTATCCTCAGGAGAAATGTGTTCATTTGGCATCGGTTACCTTTTAGATGAGCTTTACTGAGAGATGGAGCCCTTAAGGAAAAGAGCAGGCCTTCGAGTCCTAAAAGGAGCATCATTAAGAGAGATACAGTGTCATGACACAGACAGCCTTAATAGGGCCTTGAAGGAAGAATGAATCAGAAATTTCCTGCTTAATCTAGGGAACAAAGGAGATTTCTACTTCATAACTTTTCATCAGGTTAGGCAAATGTTAGATCATATAATCTCTACCCTATCTTCAGGGACAAAAAGTATAGAATCAGGCTTTAGGTTAGACAGTGATGGTTTGTTATTTAACACATATATCTCATTCAAATATTTAATTGACGTATGGCATCTTTTTCTTTAAATTTGTTTAGAGCTGCTAAGAAAAAATGAGAGATTATAAGTGAAATACATTATTAGAGTCAAAATTATATTACACTACACTACACTATGCCCTTGGAACCTTGGAAAGAAATTTTTCCTTACCTACTATCTTGTTCTTTACAAGAGAAAATAAACTGTAATCAGTACCAAAAGCAACAGAATTTAAAATAAAAATGGGAATAACTTAGGAAATGATGATCTTTTGTAGGACTTGCTAAGTAAAGATGAAATATGAGCAATATTTTTGCAGGTTCTTAAGAAATACTGGATCTTTATAACTTATTCATTCTTTTCAACCTTAAATTTGAACTTAGTTTTATTATAATCTGTTCACTCTTTTTCATTTTGAACTTCGTGTAATTATAATTTGTACGTTCTCTTTCAGCCTTCATTTTGAACTTAATATTACTGAAAAAGAATCAAATGGTAACTAAGGATTCATTTTTATATCAAAGTCATAAAGCTGAGAGATAAAATGATTCATTTCAGGACATAACTCTCTTTGTAGTATTAGTAAAGAAAATATTTGTGTTAAGTTTTCATGGGAAGCATGAAGAAATGTCTGTTCATCCCTGATAGGGTACCAATAATGGGCCAACATGTACTTCCCCCACAGTTCAACCATGTGACACATGTCATCTTCCAGAACTTAGGTAAGGAGTTAGTTATACAAATATGATGTACTACAAAATGAGGTGACCAGGAACACTACTGCTGTGTTGACTTAAGAAACATAACTTTCGCTTTTTTCCCGACATCTTAGGGAGGCTGCAGTGGTCGTCGCCACTCTCCGAACTTCATCATGCCGCCCAAGGATGACAAGAAGAAGAAAGATGCCGGAAAGTCGGCCAAAAAAGACAAAGACCCAGTAAATAAGTCCGGTGGCAAGGCCAAAAAGAAGAAGTGGTCCAAAGGCAAAGTTCGGGACAAGCTCAACAATCTAGTCCTGTTTGACAAGGCTACATACGACAAACTCTGTAAGGAAGTGCCCAACTATAAACTTATTACTCCGGCCGTGGTCTCTGAGAGACTGAAGATTCGTGGTTCCTTGGCCAGGGCAGCTCTTCAGGAGCTCCTTAGTAAAGGGCTTATCAAGCTGGTTTCAAAGCACAGAGCCCAAGTAATTTACACCAGAAACACAAAGGGTGGAGATGCCCCAGCTGCTGGTGAAGATGCATGAACAGGTTCAATCAGCTGTACTTTTGGAAAAATAAAGCTTTATTAAATCAAAAAAAAAAAGAAACATAACTTTCTTCTTGAATGGCATAAGGGATTTTATCCTGAAGCCAAACTTACAGAATTCAGATTAGGTAACTTCAAATTCCATGTTCCCACATGGCAGAAGTTTAAAGAAAACATAATTAAAAAGTTACGAAACAGAACAGTTTTAGAATACATTGGTGGAAACCCCAGGTCATGTGATAGGTGACACTATTCTTATCTCAGGGTTTTGCATAAGCCAGAAGCCTATATATCTATTCCAAAGCATTTAGTATGTAGACACAAGGATGATAGATCAAAGATTGAGATGAAAAATAAATGATTATCAAGTGGCTAAAATTAGCTCAAGATAATCTAGCCCTGGACTTACAAAATTTCAACCTTTCCACATCATTGAACTCTGATCAGATAATCAGTCTTGGAGTAGGTTCAGTGTAGAATGTGGCTTCTATCTGAAAACATTTCTTTAGTTCCTTTCCCAGGACTTTCCCTTACATTTAAAATAGGAATGCCACTCAGTGATCTTGTGTGTGCCCTGATCAACCTAAACACAAATTGAAGCTGAATCTTGTTGTTCCTATTAAAGGGGTAGCTCATAAATCATTTATTAGGAGAGCTTTGGTAATGACCAAATGGTGTGTTCCTGAGCTGACCTAAATGTAAAATACTATTAAATAATAGATGATTATATTTTCCCATGCATTTCAGAACTATTGAGGTATGGTTTGCAGGACAGAGACACTACATTTTCTTCCACTATCTTGGATTGGTTTTTCCTTGCAAAGGAAAGCTTGAATAAATAGAATTCATACATGTAAATGTATTTACACACATGGGATTTATATTTTAAATTTCCTAAAGTTAATTACAATTGTAGTCACATTAAAAAGAAAAATGCAATGATAGGCTCCCTCAAAAGTGGGACCAAATTGTTCCAGATCACATCATTAACAGAGTTTGTCTTTGAGACATTCTTTATTTCATCTAGATGGAAGTCAATCCATCAAGATTAAATTATATCACTTTGTTATTTATTTTCTTAAAAACTTCAATTATTAAGATAATTCTTTACTATCAGCTTCTTATTAATACTATATGAGGCCTGAAAAAGAACTCTGACCACATTTTCTTAAATTCACTGTCTTCTAAGACATCATTTTTGATACTTGGACCTTAATGAATTAATCGCTTCTCTTTACAGTTTTCTGATCTTATTGCTTACCTAAAAATCAGACTTGTAGATGTCTCCTACTGTTATATAATTGAAATGATAAAATTTCTGACAGCTTCAATGCCATAACATCCTTTTTTCTCCCATAACCATACTACCTTTGATCTGATACCATGAACTTTCTTTTGCCCACCTGTGACATTATTTCTCTGCTTTGCCAATGTTGTTCTGCAGTTCACTCTGTTTTAATTTGCTAAGAGCTTAACAGTTCTTTCAGAAAAAAACAACAACATCCTCAAAGTAGCTGGCGTAGTGGCCCTTAGAAGAGAACATCAGTCATTGAAAAGGAAGGAGTACAGTTCAGTGGTAAAGAGCTCATGTCACATCCAAGAGGCTCTCAGTGCGATCACTAATCCTGACAAACAAAAGCCATTATCAGGCTTATATGAATCAATGATCTCATTTAGTCACAATTTGTACTGATAGTTTCAAACTAATAATGAGAAACCAACAAAATAGAGAGGTACCGAACACAAGTCACTGTGTTTTCTTACTACATCATGATATGCTGTGGTGCAGACTAATTAATCTTTCTGAGTAGCTATTATTTCCTCAACAATTTCTGTTTTGGTAATGAAGTAACTCTGCTTTATTCTAAATACAATAAAAATTTTCCTAAAACTGTACCATATAAACCACTAATTCTAAATTTTCTTCTCTTTATTTATTTATTTATTTTTTTATTGAGAAAAGGAAAAAAAAAGTTTCCGCCTCCTCCCAGCCTCCCATTTCCCTCCCCCTCCTCCCACCCTTCTCCCCCTCCCCCCACTCCTCTCTCCCTCCCTCTCCAGTCCAAAGAGCAGTCAGGGTTCCCTGCCCTGTGGTAAGTCATAGGTCCTCTCCCCTCCGTCCATATCTAGGAAGGTGAACATCCAAACTGGCCAGACTCTCACAAAGCCAGCACATTAAGTAGGATCAAAACCCCCGTGCCATTGTCCTTGGCTTCTCATCAGCCCTCATTGTTCGCCATGCTCAGAGAGTCCAGTTTTATCCCATGCTTTTTCAGTCACAGTCCAGCTGGCCTTGGTGAGCTCCCAGTAGATCAGCTCCACTGTCTCAGTGGGTGGGTGCACCCCTCGCGGTCCCGACTTCTCTGCTCATGTTTTCCCTCCTTCTGCTTCTCATTGGGACCTTGGGAGCTCAGTACAGTGCTCCTGTGTGGGTCTCTGTCTCTGTCTCCATCCATCACCAGATGAAGGTTCTATTGAGATATCATCTTCCACCTGTCAGAATGGCTAAAATAAAAAACTCCAATGATAGCCTTTGCTGGAGAGGCTGTGGAGGAAGGGGTACCCTCATCCATTGCTGGTGGGAATGCAATCTTGTGCAACCACTTTGGAAATCAGTGTTTCGGTTTCTCAGGAAATTCAGGATCAACCTACCTCTGGACCCAGCAATATCACTCTTGGGAATATACCCAAGAGATGCCCTATCATATGACAAGAGCATTTATTCAGCTATGTTCATAGCAGTATTATTTGTAATAGCCAGAACCTGGAAACAACCTAGATGCCCTTCAATGGAAGAATGGATGAAGAAAGTGTGGAATATATACACATTAGAGTACTACGCTGTGGTAAAAAACAATGACTTCTCGAATTTTGCATGCAAATGGATGGAAATAGAAAACACTATCCTGAGTGAGGTAACCCAGACCCAAAAAAGATGAACATGGGATGTACTCACTCATAATTGGTTTCTAGCCATAAATAAGGGTCACGGAGTCTACAATTGGTGAACCTAAAGAAGCTAAATAAGAAGGTGAACCCAAGGAAAAACATATAGTTATCTATCCTCTTGGCTATGGGAAGTAGACAAAATTGCCGGGGAGAAAATTGGGATCTTGCGAATGGGGTGGGATGAGGGTAAGAGGAGATGGGGAGAGAAAAGGGAGAAGGGGAGGATGGGGGGAACTTGGGGAAAAAGGATGATTGGGATAAAGGAAGGTTGGATAGGGGAGCACGGAAGCACAATTCTTAGTTAAGGGAGCCACCTTAGGGTTGGCAAGAGACTTGAACCTAGAGTGGCTCCCAGGTGCTCAAGCCGAGGTCCCCAGTTAGTTCCTTGGGCAGCTGAGGCTAGGGAACCTGAAATGACCCTATCCTATAGCAATACTGACGAATATCTTGCATATCACCATGAATTTTCCTCTCTTATGCAATATTATTGACTAGGTATACTCTACTGAAAGTATTCCACAAACTAGGACTCTTCTACCAGTGAGAACTGATCATTTGTTTGCCAGAGATCTGTGACTGGAATCTTCTCAATTTCATTTGTTTAATACCTTTTTCCCTTTTCCAAAAGGTTTCCCTTTAGAGGGAGAAAACATGCGGTGGTGATGAGAACATATGGGAGAAATCTCAGGAAAAAAAAAAAAACAGTTCTTTTTATTGTACTTGAGTAGTTTCTTTGTGGCCAGAAGTGTTCTTCTTTCCGTTAGCAGTTCTGTCCAGGCCGGAACCCAAAGAATAATGCCCATGGTTCATGCACCAAGGTTCTTGTTCAAGAACAGAGGCCCTGGTTGAAACAGAGAGGTACTCATTCATACACAGGCTCTGGAGCATGCGCAGAGGTACTCATTCACAGACAATGGCGCTAGTTCACACACAGAGGCTCTCGTTCACACACAGAATGGCTCTGGTTCAGGCACAGTGGCTCTGACTCAGGCACAGAGGCACTGGTTCATGTCTTATCCTTCTCTTTGTTTTTATCTCTCTCCGTCTTTTGATAGTAACCCAATGAGCAATGCTGACTGGTAACCACACATGACCAAGCACTTTCTGGGTCCTTGGAATTGTGGACTGGAACCCCAGTGCCCTCACGAGGGTGGTGAGTGCCTAGACACACCTCATGAAGCTCTCACATTGGAGTGACATGACCGGTAAGCCCACCTTTCCACACCTCAGGCCAATCAGTTCAAAATTCAATTTACTTCCTTTGTAGGGAAGAAATCCTATCAATGGCCAAAGTTCCTCAATGACACCCACCTTCAGGTTTAATCCTTGCTACAACTCTCTCCTTCTCTTATCCCCACTGTACAGGAGCACACTTACTTCCGCCATGCAATTCCTCCTCCTGCTTTAAGCTTCCTCCAGATAATAAAGCCCCCTTTAAAACCTCACCCTTTTTTGTCCATAAAATCCATTGAGTTTGTGAGAAAAGGACCTAGAGTCACTGACGAGGCTTTGGAGACTATGGAGCCCTAGTCTCTGAATTAAACCTGACCAGCCTCCATCCTCTTGGCGAACATCATTTCTCCCATTTCATTAGGCCTACTGTTTATCCATTTTCTTTCTCTCAAAGCTCTAACTAATTGTAGCTTCCAGATTTTTATAATCTTCAATATATTTTACCTACTAAGAATCCCATCCAATTTATCCATTTTAAGCCTTTTTTTTTTTGTTAAGCCCAATGTTTCCAAAGGACATATCATGTACATAGTGAGCTTCTTTGGTTTAATACTGTTCTAAACCACCTAGTAAGCCTAGATTTGTGCCTCAATAATGTATCAACTTAATCATATAACATTTTCTTCCATCTACAAAGCACTGCATCGGATCCTGGAATTCACAGTTGGAAAAATATGCAGTGCCTTTTACTCTTTTGGCAGATACCAAACTCTTCAATAGAGTGTTCTAACTGGGCTTTTGTATTTGGAATATATGTACTTTTTATTTGTGAATCAAAAGGAAGAAACTGCTTTGTTGCTCTACTTTATCATGTAGTCCAAATGAGAAATGAGAAGGGAAGCCCTCACAGCTTTCTGCTCCTTCTCCCCTTCTCT